ACAAAACTAGCACGGTTTACTGTTCACATAATAAAATAATATTATTTTGCGCAACTGTTTACTGTTCACGTATTAAAATAATATTATTTCGCGCAATGAACTCTCATTCAAGAGAAGAAACCCTTCGCTTGAGCGAGGAAATCCGTAAGAACGCAGTTATCTCTGATCAACTATCGCTCAAGCGATAGATATTTCGCTTGAGCGATAAGTGATTAAATATGTGGTGACCTAAGTTGCGTTATGTGGCTAACTGCGTTGGGCGTTTAGCCAAATAATGCAACTTGGGTTTAGATAGCGGTTCTAGAACTAACCGCTATTAAAAATATATTTTAGATAGCGGTTAACGTGGAACCGCTATTATATATTACTTCTAAGAGCGATTATAACGTGAAATAATCGATCATAATTTTAAAATAATCCACATATAATAGCGGTTCCACGTTAACCGCTATGTAAAATATACTTTTAATAGCGGTCAATTCTACAACCGCTATCTAAAATCTGGGGTAAATTCTAGCTCAAGCGACGGTAATTTCGCTTGAGCGAGAAGTGATTGAAATATGTGGTGACCCAGGTTGCATTATGTGGTTAACTGCGTTGGACGTTTAGCTATGGTCAATTCTGGCTTGAGCGAGAAGTTCATCGCTTGAGCGAGAAAACCTGCAGGTGAACCAGGTTGCATTATATGATGTTGCTGAAAGGGGAGTTTGTTCTGTTTATGAAATTATCTTGTGTCTGTATTGTTTTACCTGGAGTTGACTATAATTGATTCATTGAAGGTGAATATGGGGATGATAGCATGTAAAGAGAATTTAAAATTTCTTGACTGATGGTTGGTTGGTTACTCAGGGTTAAAGTGCTTGAGGTTGTGGGGCTGTTAAGCATCAATTCTGTGGAGTGGCTTAGAATGATCAAAGAAGTGTTTTTATAGTATTTTAATCGATACAAAACCCTGTAGAACTCATTATAAATATTTATTAGCAACAATTAAATAATGAATAAATTGTAACAAATTTGAAGCAAAGGAATTACCCATATTTACAACATCTTTCCTCAGTGCGGTGTTTTTGAAATGTCTCATAAAATTTTGTGCAATGTGTCTAATGCAGTAAACATGCATTGAATTATTTTCTGTCCATCCGCTTCCATTTCTCATGTATGCACTTCTAATGGATTCATGTCGGTCTGATATGAGGCATAATCCTTGCTGAGGTGTGACATATCTTTGAAGGTTTTTTAAGAAAAAAAACCAGACATCACTTGTTTCACCTTCAACCACTGCAAACACAATGGGGAGGATGTTGTTGCGGCCATCTTGTGCTACTGCAACCAACAAGGTAGCTCTATATTTTCCATACAAAAAAGTTCCGTCCACTTGAACAATGGGCTTGCAGTGAACAAATCCATTTATGCATGACCTAAACACCCAAAACACACATTTAAAAATATTTGAATTTTGTTGAAGGACTTCACCTTGGTAAGCTGGTTGTGACTGCAGTTTGTAGATGAATCCGGGAACAAATTGTTGCATCGCTTGTAACAAACAAGGCAACTTCTTATACGAATCCTCTCAATTGCCGTAAATGATCTCCACTGCCTTTTGTTTTGCCAACCAGGCCTTCCTGTATGTTATAGTGTAACCCGTTGTTAATTGGATGTGGGCTATGATTGTGGATATTGGTGTTGACGAATCAGCATCAATTATTTGACCAATTGTTTGGGAAATCATTTTATATCCCAACTTTTAACTCCATCAATTATTTGACCAATTGTTTGACCAATTGTTTGACGTCGTCATCATCTTTTAACTCAACAGCAATGAAGTTGTTGATCCCAACTCCGAGTTTAGTTGGACAGCGAAAATGGATGGTTGCTACATTTTCGTGGGGTTGTTTCTCCAATTTCTTGTGGATCAACTTCTTCAACCTTTGTAGAGAAATTCCTCTCTTTAAAGGAACAAGTTTTGCAGTCCCAGTATTGAAGGTCACTCCCTCCATGGGACATGGGTTCATGAAACCATCATAGTGGACAATAGTAGACACTACACCCATTTTAGGAGTGTGGAACACAAAGAAGACTAAAGGTAAGAAGAAGAAATAATGCAAATAGCTTCAGAGATTTAGGAGTGTGCAATGTGAGAACTTCAAAGAATGAAAGTAGTCTATTTATAATGAAGTCCATTGCTTTGAATCCAATGCCCCCTCACATGGTTTCTGACGCACACAAAACCCAAGCAAAGTGGGTGGGTCAACATCTCTTTAAATATGTTTGGATTCTTCTGCTTTTGTCTAACCCAATGCAGGGAATCCAAGATTGGAATCCTAACTTAGGTGGGTAACTCAAGCATTGGATTCTTTACTTGTGTGCATCAGAAAGACATGGGAATCCTGACTTGGGTGGGTGACTCAGCATTGTAAATAGTTGCAGGTTTTCTCGCTCAAGCGATGATTTTCTCGCTTGAGCTAAAATTGACCAAGCTAAACGTCCAACGCAGTTAGCCACATAATGCAACTTGGGTCACCACATATTTTAATCACTTATCGCTCAAGCGAAAGTACCCGTCGCTTGAGCGAGACAGAACCCGAGAGTCCCCCTTGTTTGAAGGCTTCATCGCTCAAGCGATGACTTTGTCGCTTGAGCGAGTTTTGACCGAATGATGAAACGTCAAACAAAGGTAGCCAAATAATATAACTTGGTTCACCACATATTAGAATCACTTGTCGCTCAAGCGTTCATAACGTCGCTTGAGCGAGACAGAACCCGAGAATCACCCATTTTTCCAGGTGTCCTCGCTCAAGCGATGTGTTTTTCGCTTGAGTGACCTTAGATAGCGGTTCTAGAACTAACCGCTATTAAAATTATATTTTATATAGCGATTAACATGGAACCGCTATTATATGTCAATTATTTTTAAAAACTATGATCGATTATTTCACGTTATAATCGATTATCAATTTATTCGCTCAAGCGATGAGTGTCTCGCTTGAGCGAGAGTTGCCCACGGTCCAACTATTTGTCTCACTTTTAAGAGCAGTTAATATTTTAACCGCTCTTAGAAGTGAACATATAATAGTGGTTCCACATTAACCGTTATCTAAAATATATTTTTAATTGCGGTTATTTCTAAAACCGCTATCTAAAGTCTCGGGTCAACTCTCGCTCAAGCGACGGATATTTAGCTTGAGCGAAAAGTGATTGAAATATGTGGTGACCCAAGTTGCATTATTTGGCTAAACGTCCAACACAGTTAGCCACATAACGCAACTTGGGTCACCACATATTTAATCACTTATCGCTCAAGCGAAATATCTATCGCTTGAGCGATAGTTGACCAGAGATAACTGCATTCTTACGGATTTCATCGCTCAAGCGAAGGGTTTATTCGCTTGAGCGAGAGTTCATTGCGCGAAATAATATTATTTTAATACGTGAACAGTAAACAGTTGCGTAAAATAATATTATTTTATTACGTGAACAGTAAACAGTGCTAGTTGTGTAAATAAAGTTGCAGAGGTGCTATTTTGGAAAATATTTTTGAAAACAGTATTATTTATGAAAAAAAGCCAAGAAATACAATTACATACATACTTATTATGAATTTTTATTTAAAGCATATTAGAAATAAAATAGATTTCTCACATTTTTTTCCTTATCTCTTTTTCTTTATATACTGTTTATTTTATAGAATCCTGGCTAATTAAATTTGGATTTCACTATTCTAAAATGAACACCTTATTTTAGAATGTAAACTAAACATTTGTCAATTTTATTTTATGAGTGAATCAATAGCTAATATCCGTTTACATATATAAATATATTAAAATATTAATTGTTAATTTCTTAGAATAATTTTGAGCCAACTCCTATTCAGATCATAAACTTAAAACATTTAATACATCAATTTCTTAAGAGAAAAAAAAAAGATAATCTTCCTAAATGAAATTTAAATGGATTAAATACATTCATGGAATTAAATTTCAGTGTATGATAAATCACCAAAAAACTCAGAAGGGAAAATACAAAAATGTGGAATGAATACACAAATAAAGTATACCACATTTGAATGATATTTAGATTCATTTTCAAGATCCAATTCACGATTATGTGCATGAGAAAAACTTTGTTATGAAAAACAGAATTCACTTCAGATATCATATCACTTCGTCTCCAAGAGAAGAATTAGTTTTTGACTTTCAGTTGAAGGATATTGCAAACTGAATGATTTTATACAAGGAGTGCAAAAAGTAATACGTTTAGAAGAAGCAAAGCTAAGATGCTTTCCAAAGGACTAATACGAGTCTGATGCACAAGAACATGGTTGAATAATCTAATGTATAAACTCCCTTATTAAATTCAATCACTGTTTTTTCATATGCTTAAAATAGCATATCATACCTAGCAAAAGACAAAAAAGAATGATAAATGATATGTAAAGGACAAGCCAAGTGTCAAAATGGATCATGATTAATATATTCAGAGGGTAAATTTGTTAGTTTCTACTGTTGGATTTGAAGACCAAAAAGGTTTTTTTATTAAGGTATCAACTTCTTGCCCATTGCAACAACCTATCTCAAATATTTGGGAGGTTAAGAGTATCTCTAGATAAACTCAAACCCTTTGGAGTAATTTCTCAAAATGCACCAAGGAGGAGAGAATCATTGACCAAGATAACCAGAAAGTGGCTTGTTGTGGCCCTGACTTGAGCAATGAGCATTGGTGAATTAAAAGCTGAGAAGGTAGACAAGATGAAGAAACTTGAAAACTAACTAAATAGTCATGAAGGGTTAAAAAAACTATGGCACTCACCTCTTGAGAAACATTCTTTGGTTTCTAGCTTTCATTGGATTTTTAAGAGCACATATCTCTATTTGGTTCATATATAATTGATTACTTAAAAAAATAATGTTCTCAAGACTCTTAGTCATTTTCTTTTACCTAAATTTAACAAGGAATATAAATTCACCATAGCTTCCACCTTCAATTCAGAATTTCTGGGATGATTAGTTGCTAAAGGCACCCTTCACACCCTCAAGGCTCTCCCCCACGGACAACCTGCAAGGTAAACAAAAAATAATGCTTAGACTAAAAGCTTCATCCACACAAGACATGTTGCTCTTTCAACATTTATAATAAACTTCTAAACATGTACACACAAGAAAGAAAAATAAAATGAATTAAGAAGGTAAACAGGAATCAAACATGTTTTCGTATTTAACTTCAAGACAATGACGGCTCTTAATGCTTGTCATCCAGTAACCTATATCAACACTACAACTAAAATCAATGACACTTCAAATTTCTGCCCATTTTACCCAAAATAGCACTGAAGATAAAAACCATAATTTTCTAGCCTGAAGCCAAGGATGAATAAAATAATATCCACTGTAAGTGTATCTTAATCCATTATTTCCAGTCTGAACAAAACATTCCAGTTCTCATTGTCAATCTAAAAAAGATCTTTTAAATTTCGGTTATACAGTTGAAGTTATCTTTTTTACAATAATAATCACATATATGTTGCTATTACAGATTAGACTTCAACCCAAGATAAAGTTGTTAATAAGTGCTGGTAGGAGAAGAGAATAAAAAAGTAAAATGAATCAAACTTCTCTTTTAAGTTAGAATAAACTTACGCACCTTAACATTTTGAAAAGCTCTACTATTGATCTTCTCCAAAAGTTTGAAGTGCATAACTTGATTTAAACTTACGGGGAAATTTTTATTCATTTTACCTCCCCTTCTCTCCTTTTATAAGTGTTTTTATGAAAAAGTTTATCCAAATTGGGACTATTATTTTGCTTATTCAACATTAGATTTTATATAATTGCAAGATGCATATTGTATTCAAAAGTAATATCACGTAAAATTTGGATTATTTAGCTGAGTCTCAGCAGTTCATTATGAAATGGAAATCCTTTTTGAACCCTTTCTTTTAAATCATCTAATGGTAATATTACATTTTGGGATCAAATTACCCATATTTAAAGAGATGACATGACACACAACATATGTGGACATTAGAACATATAACAAAAGGCTAGGTCCAGTATACTTTAGTTAATATTACCTTTTTGAACCTTTTAATCATTTCATAAAAATCATACAAGGAACAAAACTGCACCAAATTTTGGGACAGATGATGAGGAACTTGTTGTAAATCAAGTGAAAAGCATCTAGGTCTTTTCAACACTATATCCTAACAAAAGAAGTTCATGTCTTTATCGACTTCACCCCACCGACAGTCCACCATTTAGTAGAAAAAAAAGGAAGAAAAGAAAAACAAGGGGATTATGAAGATAAATAAATCAAGAACAAATGAATATTAATTTCCTTGCATCAGCAGTGAACATTTAGTTCATCTCTGTATTAGAATTCATAATGATTCAGGAGTCTCATTAAGTTAGCAGTTTTAATGGACTGGGTTGTACTAGTCTTTGAACTATTACTTGACCTCTTAGTATTAGCAAACATCACATCATCACATTGATAATATTTCTCATTGCACTATAATTTCAAGATGGAATAAAAAACCTATATCAGTTAAAAGCATTATGCCTCAATCCTCATTCAGCTGTTTTTATCTCCTGCAGTGTTTGGAATAACTTTTAAATTCAGTGGTTTAGAGGGTAAATAACTCAAAGTAGATACTCTTTATTTGTAACAAGCTATGATGTTAGAAAGCTTCAGTTTAAGGCAATTATAAAGATTCTTATTGTTTTGGGAGGCTTTTTTTAAAGGTGAGTACTACGTTTGGGGCACTCCATGAAGGCATAATACAAAGCTTATACTTCCTTTTGGCCTGTTCATGTGCCTCATAGAAGTGAGTCAGTTAGTGACTTAGAACACCATTAAAAAACTGAAAGGCATGGATAATGGATGACACTCAGGATACCAACAATTAAACCCTTGGATGCACGTTGCACTAAGTAGCTTCCATCCAGCAATGAGAAACCTTTTACATCTGTACAAACTCAAACACCCACCTCATCAATGTCCCTTAACAATCTGGCATGTCCTAGCAACTATAATTCCCTTTGGCTATATCCTCTCTACATAAACATATCAGGGTCCTTTAATTTAAAGTAATTCTTCAAGATCAGACAAAACTTCAGAGTAACTATGTGACTTTCCTGAGAAACAATGACCTTGTGAGATCCATTTTTCACTATCCCTGTTTTCCATAATCAATGTATCAACACATGAATCCCAATCAAACAATAAAACTGATTCAGGATCCAACTTATTTACTTCCCCAGGCTCTATGTTGACTACTTGGCTTAATCATACAAGCAAATTATAAATGTCCTGTATACGCTTCAGGTATTCAATGATTTGTTACAATAATGGAAGAACCACAACTAAATGTAAAATTAAAGTCCATGCATTGCAAAACTTCAACTCTTTCAATATTATATAAAATTTCCAAGCATTAAGTTGCAGAAACTATACATACTTATGCATGCAGTACTTGTACTCTTGGCTCCGAATCAAGTCTATTTCTCCTTCTTCAAGCTACAAGAAAAAACTTCAACTCAATTGAAAAAGGTAGCTGAACTCTATTGAAAACGTTATCAAATGAAGAGATTGACTCACCGGGTCACTCTCATAGATGAGCTCATAACAAGCTGGTGAAAGGCATCGCAGAGCACAATTCTCCCTCGCTACAGTTGATGATTTGCATGACCAACCCCACAACCCACTAACCACCAAAAAGAAATGATAAAAAATGTGTATCAGCAGTTTCCAAACATCACACATATTCTACAACCCAATCAAATCTCCAAGAAAAGAAAAAGCAAGCCAAGAAGACCAACCAACGCCAACATAGGATAGCAATGAACTAGAAGCAAATATGGTTCAATTATAATGGTAAAATAAATGAGTCAACAACGACAAATCTGTATCAACAACAGTTGCTGAACATAAAAAACACTATACAACCCAATTAAATATTCAAGAAATAAAAATCAGACCCAGAAACAGCAAAACCCAGTGCACGTGACCATAGATATCAGCATAGCTCTGAGCATGAGGAACATATATTTCATGAGGAACTAAATATACAATTTAGTCCTGAAAACATGTTAGTTGCTATGGTCCATCAAACACTAATGTTTCTGTCTACACAAATTAGTCCTCAAAATTCTTAATTTGCTATCAAATTCACTCTACCCAAATTCTCAACTTGCTACCAAATTCACTCAATCCATATTCTCAACTTGTTATCAAATTTACTCTACACAAATTCTCAACCTGCCATTAAATTCACCCAGCACAAATTGTCAAATTGTTATCAAATTTACTCTTCCCAAATTCTCAACTTGATATCAAATTCATTCTACCCAAAGTCTCAACTTGCTATCAAGTTCACTCTACCCAAATTCTTAAATTGTTGTTGAGCTCACTCTATCTAAATTCTCAACTTGCTACCCAATTCACTCTACTCAATTTCTCAACTTACCATCGAGTTCACTCCACCCAAATTCTCAACTTGCTATTAAATTCACTACCCAAATTCTCAACTAGCTAACAAGTTCATCCCTTTGGAAACCAATTTTGCATAGACAGCTTTTGGGACCAATACAACAAGTGTGACATTATTAAGCATCAAATGTACATTCACTCGAACAAAACAAGCCCAGTATCATATCACACATATTCTACAACCCAATTCATTTGATTTTATAAGAACCTATCAATATCAGCGTAGCACTGAATCTTGTTCTTCCTCACTTGAGAATCCTGCGAGATACCCAGAGATAAAAATTAGTCAAAACACAAAAAGGGTACCAGAAAACACACAAAAAATAAAATAATATAGAGATAGAGATAGACTCCGTACCGAGATTGGGAGAGACGACTTGGCAAGGGGGGTTTGGCAAAAGAGTGAGGATATTAAGAGAAGAGATAGGAAGAAATTTCGTGTCGCAATCAGCATTCTGAAAGTGATTGCTGAAAATCAAAGAACAATCAAACAATTCTAACCAACTTGGATGGAAACCACCAAAGCTAAATCAATCAAGTCATTAACAACTCTTGGTCCGGATAAATATGAACATCCTAACATTTTTATTTTTTTTCAAGCTGTTACATTAATATAAGTTAAGAAAAAATTAAATATATTTTTAACATTTAATATGTTAAAAAAATATAAATTTTTTATAAATTTACATATAATACATAATCATATAGATCAACATCACACTTCCAATATTTCTATACTTACATTAAAAGCATTAACTGAACTTATATTTGGATAAATTATTTCTATGTCTAGAAAAATAATATAATTATATAATTAACAACATCAAATGAATGGAAATTAAAAACTCATAATCAAATTAATTTGTACATTTAATTATTTTTTATAATGGGAGAGATAACAAATATTATAGAAAAAATATAAATAATTAAAAAATATGTATTGATATTATTAATTTAATCAAAATTTGTATTTTAATTTTGAACTAAACTAATTGTGGGTTTACATTTAAAAAATGTTATTTTTATTTTTATTGAAAGAGTAACATATCATACAATCCCTATTAGGACCAAATCACCATTTACTTTTATTTTTGTAAATTGTAAAAGATATTATAAAATTTCTTTTTTCCAAAAAATTTATAAAATTATAAGTCATCTTTATTTTTTAATATATATATATATATATATATATATATTAAGAATAATCCTATATAATTCAAAATTAGTTTTATACTACAATTTAAGTTATTTATTATAAAATCTAATATATCAATGAAAAATTTATCTCCTGATGAGATAATGTGATAAAAAAATTCCTTTAAAGTTAAAAAATATAATAAAAAAATCATAAAAAAAATTGATGCTGATAAAAAAATCTTACTAAAAATATAATAATATTGAAATATAGAAATGAACACAAATTTCATTAAGTATCTCAGATTTTTTAATATATATAATCTAAATATTACAAAATATTTATACATAACTATTTTAATTATAATATAGTATAAATATTTCCGAAAATATATGGACTAGATATATATTTAACTATTTATCTTATTCAAAATTAATTTTATATATTGTCCCAAAATTTAAATCTAAGTACAATTTTAAACATATAAATAAAGAAATTATCAAAATCAAAATTAATATACATAACTAATTTAAATAATGCATTTAAGAAAATTAAAATATTTATAATTGTACATTTAAAATTTGACTAATAATGAAATATTTTTCTAAGCATATCTCTCTTTCAAAACTTATGGCATATTAGTTAAAAGCATAACTTCTTGCATCCCTAAAATCTCATTCATTTCAGAATGAATGAAAGAAAGGTAAAGTTTTTTAAGGGTATGAAAAAATACATAGTAAAACATTATTTTTACATTCATTTTGGTCATAATTTTTCAAAATTACTTCTTTGAACAAAGAACCCTCAATGGGTAGCATTTAACAATCTGATTAGGACACTACTTTTGTTTATCAACGTTTTTTACGTACTTGAATCTTTTCACAATTTTTTAAATGGTAATTTAACATTTATTATTCTAACCAAAACTCAAAGGAGAAATATTTGTTGCAAAACAAAATGATGAAAAAAAAGGGGACTAATAAAATGAGGTCCTAGAGTTTTCATTTCAAACAAATTTATCTGTCAGCTAAAGCTCATTTTAGAAACCAAAACATTAGATTTGAGTAAATAAAATGAAAGGTAGTTCTGGATAATAATTGCATACAATTTTATTGAACAGAGTTTATTTACATGCATAGTACAGAAGAATCAAGAGTTGGTCTATTGTCCAAAATGTGAAACACAACCACTGTTTTTATCAGGTCTCATTTTATATCTAACATGGAAACAGTTTGAATCCTATGTGTACAATCAAGAGAATTCAACCATTCTGTGTGAAAGACATGATGAGCAATGGCTACAGTGAAGAAATTTGAGCCCTTTTCTGGAACCACACAGCTGCAATGGTCACTAGAGAAGCATAAACTGAATTGGGTATCTTCTTCACCAGTTTCCCAACACCTGGAACACCTTCAGTGGCTTTTTTTGTTGCCATTGCAACTGTTGGTGCTACAACCAAAGTGACAATAAGTTTTTGGCTTACAACAGTGAATGTATCAGCTGTCATTTGCAGGATGAAATCGTAAAACTCTTCTCGGTCAATATCCCCATCAAGGTTGATATCACATTTCTGCAAATTGTTATATGAATCAAACTTAGTTCCAATACACTAACAATTATAATATACATGAAAAAAATATCAAATGTAGCTTAAGTATAATGACAAATTCTCTTGGTCTGAACGATGTTGTACTTGTACATTTAGCTTGATTTCTAAGGGTTGAATTTTAACATAGTGAAGCATAACAAGAAAAAGTGGGAAAACAAAGTACATAAATCACAACAGTTAGCTTCTTGCAAATGAGGTAAAGCTCTAATGGGAAGTGCAGAACCACTCAGACAATTTGCACAAAAGGCTTGCCCAGCACAATTCTGCACTCAGAACTTCACAAACCAGAGTGTCTTATGCACTTATTTATACAAATTAACAGAATTTAAGCATTCACTTTTCCAAAAGTTACATTTGTATTTCAACCTTTTTCCCAGTATCGAAACTATATGTGCCTCTTAAGATTGAAATCAGTACCTTCCTAACATTATGATGATTCACATATCAAAGATATGATTCAAAACTATATAAGCACTTCCTGAACCCATCTAATTTCAAAATGTTTTCCTGTATTAAATTTCAAGATGTTTTCCTTATGTTCCGATATGCCAAGATATCTCAACTATCTCACATCGCTCTAGAGTTAAAACTAAAGGTAGTTTATAAATATTCTACTCCTTTAATCCCCAAGATGCCTTTTAATAAGGACAAACCATGATAGGCTACTAAACATCCAAGTGAATAATATCTTGGATGTAGTAACCTTAATGATACTTACAAATTTGAAGTCAAAACACTTTGTGGCTTTTTAGTTAATGTTTTGTGATGTATTTCCATGCTATCTTATCCATAGTTGACCTTTGAAATATTATTAAAATTTATGAACTTGAGATTGAAAACTCACCTCTTTACCCTACAGTCAGTACACTACTCAAACCATGCCACAAGCCATGGGCTTTGAGCCAAAAATCCTGCCTACAGATTATAATCTGTCAGACGCCATAAATCCCAAATATTTAGGCTATGCTTGGGTTGATGAAAGAAGAAGGAATGATATATAATGTTATAATGTTCCATTGTTTGAATTGGTAAGATGAAGATGAATATTAAGGAAATTAGTGCAACCTATTCCATCCTATTTCATTATTTACCTAATTTTTCTTTCTCCCCAATTTCAGAGGAACAAGAATATTTTTCATTATATCTAAGCATATCTAAAAAAATTATGGATATTTTATTCCATTATGTCGCATACAATCATTCTACTCCATTCTCATCCTATTCACCTCTTTCCATCGGTCGAAGTAACATACGATGAAAGAATAGTCTTTGTTACCATAGGCTGAACATTGCCTCACAAACCTCTGCAAATTCAGAAACAGGGAGTTTCTCCACAGACACAAACCATTACACTTACATGCTAGTTTAATATTAAATTAAGAAGAAAAAAAATACATTTTTTTACATAGTTTGAGATTCTGGAAGGCAGAAAGTGTTTGCCTGACATTAGATAATAGCCCCTCTGATCCAATTCTATTAATTGTTGAATTGAACCACAAAAGGGTTTAACAATGGCAATTTTACTGAGTAACAATGTCTTTAGACTGAACTATTTCCTCCTTCCTAGTTATATGACATACCTTTATGTATAAATCACCCACTTCACTTAGATCAACCCAACTAAATAAATAGAATCAATACAATCACTAGTGAAAACAAGGAGGCATTCTATCGTCTTCAGCCTTCACTCATCAAGTTTCTAGAGGTCCTAAAAATTTATATAACTTTAACAGCCTCGGAAGCCAGAATGTTGAAGTCCTCAAATTGTACACTAAAATTCATTACTTGACTTCCATTTTAAGATATATTGTAATACAATGTTGATTTACATATATTAGTTGAAACTTGCTTTAATAAAACCACGATTTTCATTTTCCATTTTCAATTTCTCTCATTATCACTTTCACTTCCACCAAGTATGCACTTAACCATAAATACATATGACATGGTTATCTCTCAAATGAACCAAAGCTCTATAAAACCATTTATTAGCTGAAGCAGGATTACTACTCGAATTCAAACTCTCCTTTGTTATCATAATGGTAATTGAAATAATAATCTATTATTAAAAAGATAAAGAAATGTATTTAGTGCATTACATGATTATAACAAAACGCGCAAGACCTTCGATTCATTTCCACTGTGTAAAATTTTCACATATATAAGTAAATAGAGTACCTAGTTTGATCTCATTATGTCACAATAAAGTACCTCTTTGACTTCTGTGACTCTGGCTTTTGATGGAGGGTCAAAATGAGGACCAGGTATATACTTGTTGATATCACTATAACATAGAAACAGGCCTATTTTAGAAGAAATAACCAAATTTATTCAGTAGTTGAAAAACATATTATCAAGGCCACCAAAATGTCAAATACTATAATGAAGCAGGCTTCTTACTTGTACACAAGTAAAACAGCAATATACAGATCTTCAAAACTCAGCTTATCACTCTCCATTTGATTCTGTACTTTTGCAAAAACTCGATCAGTTATCTTTCTTATTTGCCTTTTCCTCCATTCCTTACCTGTGTAAAGTGCAAAGCTATTAAACATAAGCAATTGAGCACTACAAGTTGACCACACAATTCTGTGCTATTTTTAATATGTTGTACTTACATATGCAAGAATGTCATATCCGGTTAATGAAGGCATAAAATCTGCATTATGATTATATCCAGTTTAACTTATGTTCATGAAGAGTGAACTAAAAATGTATTCAACCATGAAAGAGTGGTTTTATAGAAATATCAGTTACGCTGAGCAAAATCATTAATAACTTAGGGGTTTGTGTTAACAGTTAAAAGTTGGAAAGATTCAGTAAGAAATATCAAATTAATTTCTTCTCCCTGAATTTAGGCTATTTGAATACTAATACCTTTTGTTCAGCTGTCAAAAACCACTCTGTAACAATCAAGTGTCCAATTCTTGGATCGAGACCCTAAAAATTTCAGCAACTTTTCTTACTCTAAAACTTTGTTATCCTTTTGCCATGATTCCCATCTATCATTCTTCTCCTTGTTCTCTCTTTAACAGGTTTCCCTTCTATTCTACATATCAAGTTGGGCCACATAGCCAAATCCAAAAATTTCTTCAGTCTTCCCCCAAAATGACATGACTTTAGACTTCAAAAGCACAGCACCAAACACCCCCAGAGGATGATTCAATTAAACAACTCCTTTAATGGGATGTATTTAACTTCCAAATTTACAAGCAAAATAAAAGCTTAATTTCCAGCAGAAACCAAGTTTAAGGATTTTGACCAGCTTTACCAGAGTTATCACATTCAAATTTAATCCACACTCCACTTAAAAAGCGCAATCATTTCTTTCAAAGATAACATATTTGGAACAGCATGAAACCCCAACCTCCCCAATTTCATACTTTCCATGCACAACAAGGAAAAAAATTCAATCACAGCGAAACCTACTCATTCAGGAGATAAATGGGTTTATATATGTAAAAAAAAAAAAAAAAAAGCAAATATATGTTTCAAGTTTCAAGCTTTTTGATTTCTCGTTATTATTTCTATTACTTAATATTTGGTTCACCATACAAACGACCCTTAATTGTCGGAAATTCCAAAACAGAAAAAAAACACGAGGAAGAGAACAAATGAATGAAGAAGAGGAAGTGAAAATCAGAAAAAAGGAAAGCAGAGAGAAGAAGGTAAAAGAAGAACAAATGAGAAGGGAAATGAGGAATACCATCTAACTTGTCAAAGACTTGTCCCATGGTCTGATACCAACCAACTGAAACAAAGTTACTCTGTCTTCCTTTGAAGCTTTGTCTCTGGTGTGTTGTGGGTGATAGGTTTAAGGCACAATAATACAATGATAAAATCAAACTTGGAGTTCAGAATCTATGGTTTACATTAATCTTTTGCAAGAATCTACACCAGATATGCCATCTCATCTAGTTTATGTTTTCATTTTTCATATATATTTTAGACTTATCATGATAAATTAAAATAATAAACAATTTAATATAATAAAGATTTTAAAAAATCAAAGTAGTTTTTTTTTAAATATTAAAAAATATTAAATTGAAACAAGGGATAATACGGTATTTTAGTCTAAATTTAGTTTTTCATAAAAATATCGAGTTAAGTAAATTATCACCTAAAAATATATTTTTAATTTTTAAAATATCTACTTCATTTGATATTTATATTTTTAAACCATTAAAAACATTTTATATGGTATTTTATTTTTAATCATTGTTTATGTAAATTTTTTAAATAATTAATGACATCAAATTGAAGAATTTTTTTTTCAAGTTATGTATGATTGTAACTTAGACGTAACGATAGCTTTTACTCTTCACTAAATAAATTTCACTTCATTAAATAGACATGTGACGTGACAAATGGAAAGTGATGTTGACAGTGGCACATTTTTTTTTTTTATTCAAGACATTTGAACAAAATTGCAATGGACGGGTGTGAATAAATTCTCATATTTACCGTTTATTTTGTTTTGATTTAATAATTTTAATGAATAGTTTATTTTTCGTTGTTAATTTTTAAAAATGGTAAATTATATATACAATAAACAACTTTATGACAAAAATAAGTCAAGTTTTCATCGTGTTGATGTGAGAAAAACGTATAATTCAAATATTTTTAAGGCTAAATATTCAATTATAGATATATACAATAAAAAAATTAAGATAAAAATTAAAAAAGAGTGAAACAGAGTTCTTTGAATGAAAGAAATAAATTAAAAGGTGAAGAGAAATTGATAAAAACATCAAGAAAATAAGATTGATTTGATTAATTAAAATATTATTTTTTTATTTTAAATAAATTTAGTTATTATTATAATAATTAAAAAAATAAAAGAATTAAGAAATAATTAATTATGAGAAGAGAGATAATTATTTATATCTCATTTCCTATACACTTTCTCAATTAAAGGAAAGAAAATTTTGCATATTTTTTAAGTTTTATTTTTTTCAATTTTTGTCACTCTCTTTCTTCAAATTTTTTTTGTCTGCATTTGATCCAAACAATTCATAAGTGATGAAGTTTCAGTTTGTGTTTAAATAAAGAATAGATTTGAGGGAGTGAATATGATTATTTGAATTCAAAGAAATAAAGTGAAAAATGAATAAAAATAAATGAAAATCAATAAAAGATAAGATTGATAAAGAAAAGAAAAGAAAATTATACTTTTTAAAGTCTCTCTCTTCCAATTTTTGTGGCGCACAATTTTTTTTTGTTCGTTCTTTCTTTCTTCTGATCCAAATAACTCATTAAAATATCCATTTTTTTATAACAATAAGTTTTTAAGTATACTGATTAAAAAGAAATTCCTATATTCACAAAGTGTTTTTTAATTAATATTAAATTTGTTTTGGAAAAATCCACATCATGTTTTCTTTATATATATATAAACAAAGGTTTGTATTTATTTTATTAAATTCATTATTCAAACACACTTTAAACATATAAGTTTTAGCTTACAAACTAATTTTATAAAATTAAAATAGAATAAAAACCTAAACTTTTATAAGTGAAAAATAAAACAGAATATTAATGTAACGAGATATTATAATTGAAAAATATAGAATTTGGATAAATGCATAGCATTCTAGGTGTCACTTCTTTGCGTAAGATTTCTCCATCAACATGCTCAAAATCTTCCTTATTATGTGGTTGTTGATCATAAGATTGTTGCATACTTTCATCATCTCTTGATACAATTTTGTAACTTTCTTTCTCCAATTTGATCTCAATATCAATTTCTCGAGGAATAAGAGTATGAACTTTATCATAATTCTCCCCCTGAATTTCAGACTCGGGGAAAAAATATATCAAGGTTTCATGAAAAACTACATCTATAGTAGTAAACATTTGCTTGGTTTGTGGATTGTAGCACCAATATCCTTTCTAGTGATCCGCATAGCCAAGGAACACACACCTTTCTGCTCTAGGAGACAACTTACTTCTCTAATGCTTGTGTAAGTGAACATAAGCAATACAACCAAAAACTTTATGTGTTAGTTCAACAATTTTAGGACTTAGTACTGCATCTGTAAGTGATTGAAGAGGTGTTTTATACTCAAGAGACCTGGACGGTATTCGGTTGATAGTGTATATTGCATATGTGAGAGCTTCTCCCCAATATATTGTTGGCATGTGACCTCCAATTAGTGCAGCTCGGACCACCTCCAATAGATGACGGTTCTTTCGTTTTGCCACCCCATTCTGTTGTGGAGTACTTGGACAATATCTTTGATGAACAATTCCTTTGGCTACTAAAAAATGTTGAAGTTCTGATTGCATATATTCTTCTCCGTTGTCATTGCGCAGTACCTGAATTTGTGCTTTGTACTGGGTCTCAATCATTTTGCAGAATTTCTGAAATAGTCCTCCAACTTCACTTTTAGATTTCATCAAACATAACCAAGTCATTCGAATACAATCATCAATAAACGTTACAAACCACGTTGAGCCACCCAACGTTGTAACCTTAGATGGATCCCATACATCAGAGTGAATGATCATAAAAGGAAGAAAACTTTTATTTAAAATTAAAGGAAAATGTGTTCTATGACTCTTTGCAAGCTCACAAACATCACAATAAAAATTTGAAGTGTCTACTTGGTCAAATACATTTGGAAATAATTTCTTTATGTAACCAAAAGATGCATGTCCTAGACACTTATGTCATAACCAGATATCCTCGTCTTTTCTTACTTCTTGAGACTCTTTTGTTGCTAGCACTTGACCAAGGCTCTTTGAATCTTTTTCTGTCAGGTCCAGGTAATACAACCTTCCTCGCCTAATACCACAACAATCGTCTTCCTCGTTTGAATATCCTTAAAAACACAAGAGTCAGGCCCAAAAATTACAACACATAAAAAAACTTTGGCTATTTGCGAGACTGACAATATGTTATATTTAAGAGAAGGAACAACAAGGACAATATCAAGATTCAAATTGTTTGAAATAGAGACAGACCCTTCTCCAATAATAGTGGATTTACTACCATTGGTTGTGGATATACTTTTTTGTGGGGAAGGTTTAAGATTTTTAATTTGTCTAACATCAAAAGTCACATGATCAAAACATGCAGAGTCAATTATCCATGTATTATTCAGAACGGTAGATGTGCTTATTAAAGTCTTACCATTAGAATCATCACTACCTGCGATTGTAGCAAGCATCATGCCTTTGTCGTCCTCTTTGTCAATGGCAGTTATAGCAGCAACAGTTGGATTTCTTTTTGAATTCTTCTTTGATGCTCGACTGTGATCCCACCACTCGGGGTATCCTATGATTTCATAGCATCGTTCCTTGGTGTGTCCATCCTTATTACACTGAGTACACTTGTAGTTATCTTTTTCAAAAATTTTTGATTACTTCGATTTGTTGTGGTGATTCTTTGTCATCATAATTGTGGAATCAAAAATCATATTTTTTGTTTTCAACGTTGTTCGTCGGACTGTCTCTCTCCGGATCAACGCATAGCATTCTTCTAAATCAGGTACCACTTCTTTGCGCAAGATTTCTTCACGAACTTGTTCAAAATCATCATCTAGTCCAACAAGGAATATATGCACCCTTAATCTTTCAATGGACTTCTTATATGACTTCACATCATTAGGGTCTTTCATGACTACTTTGTCACGATAATCCAATTCCCTAAAAATCTCAACCAACTCACCATAATATTCAGTTAAGGTTCTATTATTTTGTTTTGCAGTGAATGCCCTTTGATTCAGGGCAAACACCTGTAGCTCATCACTTCCATCATAAAATGTCTTTGATAAAACATTCCAAATATCGAGGGCAGTGGGTAAACGAATATACCTTTTCATAAATTCTGACTTTATGGACATCAATAATCATCTTTTCACTTTTTGGTTTTCAGCATACCAGTTTTCATACCCCTCATCGTTCTCTGTTGGAGGTTTCACCTTCTCACGGATATAGGGCAATTTTCCTTCTCTGTAATGTGCATCTCCATTAGTTGTGACTATACGTCATAATTGGATTCATTTAGGATGATGACTGCGTTGAAGACACCTTCGTATTGAACAACCATTGGAATTAGTTTTTTTGTCATCTCTTCAGTTAAGATCTTCAAGGATTTTGAAAGAAAAAGAAAAAAGTTATAAGCTCTGATACCAAATTGAAAAACATAGAATTCATTCTATATTTTTATTCATATTATTTTTATACACATATACTATGATCTTATAGTATTTTACTCTGATAAACCAGGACTAAATATAGAAAGTTCTGATTATACAATATTTTGTACCGTTATACAAACATATCATTTAACTAATCAAATATCTTTATCCCGACAATTATCCCAATTTTGAGGAAGATGCCTGCAAAGGTTCAAACTCCACAAGACAATTTTTGCGTCAGATTCAAATTCTTAACATCATTCCATGTCACAAGTTATTCATAAACAGGAAATAAATGTATAATACGAACACTTGAATTTTGACCTGTTGTTTCGTGGACAGATATGGCCCAATACAATGTAAGGTATGCAAAACTCAAAAGACGGTAATACGAATTAATCGCGACACAATCTTGTTCCAAAATCTTGGTACGCGTGATTTTATTTTTTTACTTGTATGTCATTTAACTTTTCTATTTTTATATAATAACCCACTTGAACTCTAAGAATTTCATTTCTAACATATTTATAAGTCAGATCAAAATAATAATAAAGAATAAGGATAGAAAATAATTTTCAATTTCATTGAAGACAGTTCATTTACATGCATAACATATCCTTTGACATAAAAATCAGTATTTGGACTTTTGTCCAAAATGCCAAAAAGACTCGTTTTTTTTTTTTTCTTTTTCTCAACTGCCACTTTATAACCAATGAAACGGTGTAAATCCTGTGTGTACAATGAAGAGAATTCTATCATCCTGTGCAACACATGTGTGCAGAATCCTAACAGCTCTCTTGGAACCACACAGCTACAAATGTACAAAAGGCAGTATAAACTAGTTTGGGTAACCTTTGCACCAGTTTCCCAACACCTGGGACATTTTCAGTAGCCTTTTTTGTTGTTGCTGCAACTGTTGGTGCTACAACCAAAGTGGCTACAAGTTTTCTACGAACAACATTGAATATTTCAGGTGCCATTTTCTGGAAGAAACCGAAAAATTCATCACGATCAATATGTCCATCCTTGTTCTTATCACTGTGCTGCATATTATTTATGAATCACACTAAATTCCATATACCATCAATTATAGTATACACCGGAAAATAAAAAAAATCAATGTAGTTAAGCAATTGACAAGTTATGTTGGTCTGAACAAAGTTGTACATTTAACTCATCTTTGGAGAGCTGAGTTTTCACACATAGGTGAGCATGAAGAGAAAGATGATTCTTAGAAAAATGAAAATGAGCTTCTCAATTCATGATAAAAATGGTCCATGTTGATTCTGTTTGAAAAGCATGATTGTATATAATTTACAACACCTAGCTTGTTGAAAATATTTAAGATGAAATCTAACATAATATCATGTGAGGCATGCTAAGTCTAATAAAGTTTCATTTGTATTCCAATCATTTTCATGGCATTGAAGCTATCCAGTAGTAGAGATGAATCATTCTTGAAAATGGTTCAGAAATGTTATGTGGAACAAATTCAAATTTGTTATGGAGTTTATGTGTGATCTTCTTTACCCCTACTGATGATGATCTTCTTTACCCAAGCCTAATGATATGTGCTGATTTCGCCAAGTACACACTCAAAACACATCAGACACAATTATCCCTTTTAAGTTAGCCCAAAACTCCACCATAAACAAGTTAATAGATGGTGCAAAGTTGCTTCGAAAATTCAAACCTCCATTGTTATCCAAATGAAATTGGTAATACATGATTAAAACCATAAAGAAATGTGTACAGTGTATTACAAGGTTAGAACAGAAAGCATCATAGTATCGATTTATTTCCTGTGTAAAATTAACATATTTATAAGCAAATAGAGTACTTAGTTTAATCCCATTATGACACAATAAAGTACCTCAATGATTTGTCTGACTCTTTCTTTTGAAGGAGGATCAAAATGGGGACGAGGAATATACTTGTTGATGCCACTACAATGTTAAAACATCTCATTTTAGAAGAACTAATCAAAATTTCAGCATTTCAAAAACATATTATCAACGCCACCAAAATATCAAACATAGGCTACTTACTTGTAGACAAGTAAAATAGCAATATACAGATCTTCAAAACTCAAATTATCAGGTCTCACTTCATTCTTTACTTGGTTAAAAACTTGGTCTGTTATCTTTCTAATTTGCCTTTTCCTCCACTCCTTACCTGTGTACACACGAGCAATGACATTGAGCACTACAACTTGATGAACAACTGTATGCTATGGTTATATGCTGTATCTTACAGTTACATATGCAAGAATGTGGTGTCCAGTGATCTCAATCATAATTGAGAAACTTATCCGTCAATAGCAAAACAAATGATACATATGTTGTAATTTTAACTGTTGGTTTGTCAATGGAAAATCCAATTCCAAGCTTCAAATCACAGAGTTTGCTGTATACATGGATTTGATGGAACAAATGATGAAACTGACCACCATTTATGTCAAAGCCGCACGAATTTAGACTTCAAGAGCACAATATCAAACACATCCAAAAGATGATTCAATAAAGAAGCAAACCCTGTAAAGGGATTTACACAACTTTCCAATTTAAAAGCAAACTCGAAGCTCAACTCGGGCGAAATCAAACATACAAATTTTGAGCATCTCTCTTATTATTACTTTGAGCACATTCAATTTTACACAAATTTTGATTATTTTCAAGCACAAACTGGTCAATTCAATGTGTATTAAATGAGAATACTTATTGTGAGACTTGAAAATTATACATATTTGAGCAATCAAAATAAAAGAAAGAAGCATCTGACTTTTTTTAGTGATCATATGACCATTGAACGGATTTTAATATTGAAAAAATTCACAATGACCCAGATTTATACATTCCTCTCTCTCTCTCTCTCTCTATATATATATATATATATACTTTTCATGAGATTCATTATCATTAACATGGTCATCATCATATGCCTTCTACACGGAATTAGATCCACTGGAGCTTAAAATTACCTCTAATTCATGCAGCCAATATCCAACTGTGTATAAAAGGAGCATACTTTAAAGGGTACTGATCTTTGCAGTTAAAATATAACTGTAGAGAATCTTGATCTGAAGTAGCGAAGAAATAAAACAAGTGGGGTGATGGAAACGGTGCAGGAAGTGAAAATCAGAAAATGAAACCAACCGAGCAGAAGGTGACAACAAATGACCAATTGAAAAGGAAAGTAGGAACAATTAAGCATGAAATCTTAAAATGAAATGCAGAATGCATGCATGTATGTATGTATCACTGAGAGAAGCATAAGCAACAAGACATACCAAGTAATTTGAAGATTTGTCCCAGCCATGATATGATACCAAACATTTCTTTGTTTTCTCAGTGTGTGCTACCTTAACTTAATTAGTAGCTTCCAACAAAAGATATTCTTGTTTCCAGGAAAACGCAACACCAAACATCTCAAACAAGCTTATTCTCTCTCTTTCAAGCGTTTATCTTTATACTTGAGTGTTGAAGGTTAGAAGTTGAGAGTGAGACTCCTTTGGGCCATTGACACATATACTCCCTTGTAGGTTATTCTTTGCTACACTTTTCTTTTGTTGAACTTTCAGTACACGTTATGTGTAACATATTTGGGTGCTTTATTTAAATTGATAGATACACCAGTTATAGAATTTCTCAATGTTTCTTTAACAGTACCTTTGATTATTTTTTATTATTTTGTCAAAAATACATTATTCACTTTTTGTTCCTCAACCAGCTGTCTTCTACCTGAAGCAATTCTAGTTAGTCTGCAATAACTTTAGCATAACAGACTTTTATAAATACTGTTTTTTTCTCTTTACACAAAATTTGAATTCAAAAGCATAGAAAAATAGAGTGGATAAAAATAAAAAGAGAAGGAAAACAAAAACATTAAAACTGTTAAAAATATTTCATTAAAGAAGAATAGAAACAAAAAAGAGATAGAAAAATTAAAAAATACTGTAAATTAGTTTAGTAGATTTACTTTTTTAATTATTTTTTCCTATTTCATTTTATCAAACAAATATAATTAAATTCATCCTCTCTATTTTCATTTTCTCCTCCCCCAAACCATTACTAAAATAGACCATCCACTGATAAAAGTGTATTTCCTTTAACTAAAATACAAATATAGGTTCAAACCTTTTTGCTTGAATGATACAAGTATATGGACATTTTAGTACCTTAACTAAACTGCTCCACTGTAATTTCTACAACTTGAAAATTCTGGCTACTTCCTAATTAATTCTTTTTGCGTTTCTTTCCAAATAAAACATATATATATATATATATATATATATATATATATATATATATTTGTATTTTTGAAATTTTCATGATGCAATTATTTTTCATAAAAAAATGTTGCAGACAACACTTGAGCATCCATTACGGTGTGCAGTCATAAGAATTTTTCAATAGCAGTTTGAAGTAACATGGTTTGATGAACGAGGAAAAAAGAATTCCAGGAAAATATTCTATTTCCATGATTCAAAAATATTCTGAGAGGTGCTAAGAATAATCAACATTGATGATTCTTAATCAGCAGCATACTGACATAGCATTATGCAAATAATATCTTCATCATAACAAATTCATAGTTTTTCAGCTTACATAATGAAAGTTTTACTGCTAAAACTAATCCTAAATGGATTTTATACGTGAAAATTTGATGTCTTAACCAAGATCCAAGGATGTGAAGAAGAAAAACTTAAATATTATAATGAAGTCTCAACTAATTCTTCCCTATGTAGAAACCATACTACTTGAGAAAATTACATTATTCAACTAACATTTACTCCATTATTATCAGAGATACTACAATTCAAAATGACTGCAAAAGCCATACAAAGAAGCTTGAATATTCAGCACAAAAATAGAACAAAAACTTAAGAAAAACTCAGCAATATGTCCAACAAAAGTATCTGCATTCAGTCACGAGCAACAACAACCACTTGTTTCCCAACATTGCGACCAGTGTAGAGGCCAACCAAGGCTACAGGGCCATTCTCAAGACCCTCAGCAATGTCTTCCACATATACAACCTTCCCTTCTCTAATATGAGGCAGGACAAACTCCAAGAATTTGGAATACAGGTGATAGAATTTTCTGACAGTAAAACCTTCCATTCGAATCTGATTAAATATGAGATATGCCAAATTTGTTACACCTTCTGGTTGTGTGAGATTATACTGTGAGACCATTCCACAAACAGGTATGCGACCATGCACTCTCATATTAAGGAGTGCTGCATCAAGTGTCTTGCCTCCAACATTCTCAAAGTAAATATCAATACCTTCTGGAAAGTATCTGATGTGTACATTGATAAGCAGCAATCATTAGCGTATATTGCATGGAGATTTAATCAAAATTTCTCTATCACAAAAGTGTTAAAAATCCTAACCTTTTCAGAGTTGCATTGAGGTCTGACTCTTCTTTGTAGTTAAAGGCTTCATCAAATCCAAATTTGTTCTTCAAAAGATCCACCTGGTTGCAAAATAAACATTCAAATGAGAGAAGAACTATGTGCAAAAAAACAAACTCAAAGAATTTTATTTAAGGTCCCCTTAATCGGACTAGTAGTACTGGTGTATGCCATAATTCTCTTTTTCAAGACTTATATTTGGGGTAAAGCATATTGGATACATAATATTATCATTTCCAAACAAATTTAAGCAAAGAACCAACACTCATGCAGTTTTATGAAGTATCGAAAACATTATAGAGTGTAACTTCTAATATTTGAAAAAAAAATTGTTTGATCCTTTCATAAAACAAACATATTCAACGTATTTTAATTCTGCATCTTGGAAAATGCAAAAACTATGCAACATGTCTAGTAAGTTTTCACTGACAAGTAACTTTCAATCAACAAATTGTTAAAAATTGATACAAGCTACAACGAAGTTAGTAAAAAATTCTAGAATCTTGTAAGTAAAGCTTATAAGCTTATAAATAGGTATGAAGGAAGTCTTTGTACGTGTGGTAATAAACACTATCAATCCAAAAGCCCCTTTTCTATTAGCTCTTACTCCTTCTCTTGCCAAAATCCTTAACTATCTTTCATCCTTAAACATTTCCACATAAGCCTTTTTCATTTCAAATAAAACATTTGCTCTCCTTCTATTATTCCAACCCACTTCCAAAATACTAACAGTGGTATCAGAGCTACGTTCAGTCACCTACTGGGCGTAGAGAAAAAATTTCGACTACCTTAAAAAACTCAATCCCACTACACATTACTTCCAAAAGAAAAATTTCAACCTATGGCCACTACCAGCCAAACATCATCCATTCCAGTTCCTATTTTTAAGAGAGAAAATTATGATTTTTGGAGAGTCAAAATGAGGACATTTTTTTGTTCTCAAGATCATTGGGACGTCATAGAAGATGAGTTCACTATTCTAGAAGACATCTCAACTCTTACAGCTGCCTAGAGGAAGGAGTTGAAGGAAAACAAACAGAAGTATTCAAGGGCATTATTCACTCTTCAGCAAGCAGTTGATGACACTATTTTTCCAAGAATAATGGGTGCCACATGCAAAGGAAGCTTAGAATACAATACACGAGGAGTTTCAAGGAAGCGATGAGGTACGCAATATTAAACTTCATTCACTAAGAAGAGAATTTGAGTTAATAAGAATGAATGAATCTGAGGCCATAAAAGACTACTATTCTAGAATAAAAGAAATAGTTAGTCAGATAAGAGCCTATGGGGAAAATATTCTTGATAAGAAAATTGTTGAGAAAATTCTAATTTCTATTCCCCAAAAATATGATGCAATTGCAACTGCAATTGAACAAACAAAAGAGTTATCTACATTATGGGTGACACAACTAATAGACTCTCTTGAAGCATATGAACAAAGATTGAAAAGGCGTGAAGAAGACTCAGTCGAAAATGCCTTTCAATCAAAACTAAAATTACGATCTCAGAATGGAGGAAATAAAATTAATAGATAACTTTCTAGGAATAAGGAAAACTTTAGAAATTTTTCCAAGACTATTCAAGGAAAATATCCTTCATGTGGCACTTGCAAAAAGACAAGTCACTTGGAAAAAGATTGTTGGCATCGAGGAAAACCCCAATGTCAATACTGTAAGAAATTTGGACATATGGAGAAAATGTGTCGTAACAAAAATCATCAACAAGCAAATTTTGATGAAGAACGGGATAGAGAACAACATCTCTTCTATGATACGGGATGTTCTGATAATGAATCAAAAGGAAGATGGTACTTGGACAACGGGTGTAGTAATCATACGGCGAATGATCCAAGCATCTTCAAAAAAATTGATAACTCTATCAAAGTTCAAGTGTGATTGGAAAATGGCACTGTGGTAGAGTCAAAAGGAAAATGCAGTGTTATGGTAGAGACCAAGAAATGTATGAGACTTATCAATGATGTCTTACTAGTTCCCAATCTTAAAGAAAATCTCTTAAGTATTGGTCAAATGATGGAGAAAGGATATACTCTCCACTTCGAAAGAGATATATGCACTATCTATGATAAGAAAAATCTAGAGATTGGCCAAGTAAAATGAAAAAGAGAAATAGAAGTTTTCCTATAAGCTTCAATCGAGGAATTAACATTGCCATGAAAGTAGAAGTTGATGATTCGTGGTTGTGGCATCGTAGATTTGACCACTTCAATACTCATGCCTTAAAGTTACTACATCAAAAAGGCATGATGAGAGATCTACCAAGCCTTAAAGAGAGTAGCGAAGCTTGTGAAAGATGTCTTATGGGAAAGCAACACAGATTGCCATTTTCTACGGGAAAAACTTGGAGAGCAAAAGACTTGTTGGAGTTAATTCACACAGATATTTGCGGACCAATGAGGACTCCATCGCTTAATAACAACAGGTACTTCATTCTCTTCATTGACGATTTTTCTAGAATGACTTGGGTCTACTTCATTAAAGCAAAATTAGAAGTCTTTGGAATGTTCAAAAAATTTAAGGCCCTTGTCGAAAAGCAAAGCGGAAAATAGATAAAGGTGCTCAGGAACGATCGAGACAAATAATACACCTCCTACAAATTTGATAAATTCTATGAGGATGAAGGTATTGAGTGACAACTTACAGTTGCATATTCTCCACAACATAATGGTGTCTAAGAGAGAAAAAATCGCACTGTCATGGAGATGACAAGATCAATGCTAAAAGAGAAAGACCTACCTAACACTTTTTAGACAGAAGCAATCTACACTGCCGTTTACATACTGAACAGATGCCCAATTAAGGCAGTCTAAAACAAGACTCCTATTGAATCTTGGAGTGGAAGAAAACCATCAGCTAAACACCTACGAATATTTGGATCAATTTGCTACATACATGTTCCTGATCAGAGGAGGCATAAGCTTGAAGACAAAACTATAAGAGGAATATTCTTGGGATACAACCAACAATCAAAAGGATATTGAGTCTACAACCTACAAACAAAGAAACTCGTCATCAGTCGAGATGTTGAGGTTGATGAAAATTCTTCTTGGAATTGGGAAGAAGAAAAAATTGTTAGAAGCAACATCCTATTTCCAGTACAACAACCTGAAGAAGAGACAGGAGATCCAGGTACGCCTCCACAAGAAGAAGAAGAATATACTTCACTAGAGTCTGCACCAAGACGTGTAAGATCTTTGGTATATATATGAAACTTGTAACATGACCATCATTGAACCTTCCTGCTATGAAGAAGCTTCAAAGCAAGAAGTATGGGTCAAGGCCATGGAAGAAGAAATCAAAATGATTGAGAAGAATAATACTTGGGAGCTTGTGGACTGTCCTCATGGAAAGTATATCATTGGAGTAAAATGGGTATATAAAACTAAGTTCAACCCTGATGGAATCATACAAAAATATAAGGCAAGATTGGTCGCAAAAGGATACTCACAACAACCTGGAATCGACTACAATGAGACTTTTGCTCTAATTGCTCGCCTGGATACAATTAGAGCTTTAATAGCCCTTGCTGCACAAAAAGGTTGGAACATCCATCAACTGGATGTCAAATCCGCCTTTCTCAATAGAACATTTGAAGAAGAAATCTTTGTTGAGAAACCACAAGGCTTCATCAACAAAGGCCACGAAGGAAAAGTACTAAGACTAAGAAAAGCTCTATATGGCCTGAAGTAAGCTCCTCGAGCATGGTATAGTAAAATTGATAAATATTTTTCAGGAGGAGCAAGAGTGAGCCAACACTTTATATCAAGACACAAGGTCAGTATAATCTCATTGTCTCCTTATATGTTAATGATCTCATCTATACAGGAAACAATAAGGAAATGATGAAAGAATTCAAAGAAGATATGATGAAAACATTCGAAATGACTAATCTTGGCTTGATGAACTACTTCCTCAGGATAGAGGTGATACAACAAAAAGAATGAA